TCGGTCGTCTCGGTCGTCTCGGTCGTCTCGGTCGTCTCGGTCGTCTCCCGTCCGGCGGATCAGTGAAAAGGCGTCACACAGCCAGTCTGTGATGAAAAATGTCTTTGATTTGCCACACCAACTCGCGATCGATCCCAGGTTCGCCCCTCAAAAAGCCCTTCCACATAGTGGGGTGCCAGAGGGTTGTTATGTTGGAGTCAACAAAATATCCACAAAACATGCAACCGCCATCGACACATCACCGGTTTAAGACCGTGAGAAAGAGTTTTGTGAATTATCACATCAGAGACGGTCTGGCTTCTAATTCGGAATAGCTAATTGTTCAAGAGATTGTTTTTAGCGAAGGCATTTCTTAATGCGTTGATAAAATGATTATGGCCTTTATCGAACGGAATATTTTGATATGGTGCGGCACAGTGCGAAATTGTTGTTTGTATGATTCGCGGAACAACCCGAACATTGTGTAGATGGATGTAGATGGAGATCCTCAGAGATTTGTCTGCAATAGCTGTAAAACCAACAGCATAAAACCACCACTAGCTTCACTAAGTACACCCCATGTCTGCTCTGTTCAGCCCATCCATGTCTACTGCTGGGCAGCACATCCATGGCACGACAGGGAATTCAGTGTTTTGGAGTCTAGAAAGGTTCATCGATGAATAGAAGAGTCTCATTGATCTCATCAACAATTGCTGTGATTCAGGTCGGCTGGACTTCTTTACAGCACCAAGTGTTGCGACCACAAGGCTGTCAATTTACAAACAACTGGTAACTTGGTAACTGGGCTCATGCCCGGTTGAAAGAAACAGATTCTGCGAACATGCGACGCAAGGGTCCCCAGTATTTAACTGCTGTGCTTCACCGCACTGCCGCCCGTCGCGAATCTTGGAACACCCACAAGCGACGACTTCGGGTGGGAGTCCACTTGTTCTCACGGCTGATGAGAGACCTCAGGCACAGCTCACCTGCCTCGCTTCAACTAAGGCTCTGCAAAGAATCTTAATCTGTTGAAAGTGGTTTAGATTTAGTTCAGATGTCAGAGTAGTGGAAATGTGGACACATTCCGTACGCCAAGAAGTGTGGATGCATTCATTTGTACCAAGTGTCAACGAGTGAAAAACATTCTCATACATGGCCGGAAGAAAAACAGAATAGCACCCATCACTCGCCTCGCTGTTTTCACTGTTGTTCCTAAAGATTCCCGTTGGTTCAGGTCAAAACCTCCTAGACTAGACCGTTTCTGCACAGAAACTCACCCCAACTGGGGTCCATCACTTGGCCACCTGGTACCAAACAGCCAGGAACAGCAAAGGAATCACCACAGACATCACCTGCCATCTTTCAGCCACTTCTGGGCCACCAAATGAAGTGTTTCCAGCAGAAATGAACCAAGCTCATCACTGTAGTGGAACAGAGCTATGTGTGTCTACGGGGCAGTGAAGGTGTCTATATCCATGAGTCATGAGACTGCGGATTCCTACCAATATCGGCACAGGATGTGGTCAGCACTGGGCTCTTCAAGAAGAGCCAGAGTTGTCATTCATGGAATTTGCAACTTCTTGTGTTCAGCGATGCTTCAAAAAAGCTCTGTTGGCTGTTCGTTCTCCCGGATTCTCCTTTTTGCTTCCTGCCAACTGAATAGTGTTTGCTGTCTTTCACAGCACAGCAGCCTACAAGTAAAGTCCCTACATCCGTAGACCTACAGTAATCGAACTATACAACCTATTCTATTGCCTTCCAAAGTCATGTCCAGTGAAACCTTCACAAATAACTTGGTCCCTTCAGGACCACTTGCCTAGCATACTAAACTCTCGAAAGATGTTGGAGAAACTCATCATATCTTCATCTCTCTGGCTCAGTGTTTCTGAGCTCCCATGAGTTCAATGAAGCATTTGTGGACTATCCTGTGCTGCAAAGACCACAGTTCGACCATGGTCTGCCGCCCGTTGCCTCGTCCCCACGGCCGCCCAGAAAGTGGCCCTTTCTAAGGAGGTCATGGACTCCGCTACGACCTCCATGGCCGAACGAATGGCCACACCATAGCTGAGACCCCCTAATTCACGTGAGATGGAAGCCCAAAGCTTCTCATCCACGCGAACCAAGTCATAGATGTCACAAAGAGGATACTTTCTCAAGATTTGCAACACAAGCTTTCGCCGATGATCTTCATCGATATACCTGGATGCCATCTTGGCTCTATGGGCATTGTAGGGCTGCTTGAAGTATCTCAGGGCATCATGCCGCTGGTCGGGTGCTGCACGAACCAGGACGTCGACCAGTCTTTCCAGGTCGTGCTCCTTCCGCAACTTCAAGACACGATCCAGGGGGCCTCCAGATCGTAAACACCCCTGAGAACGGGCACGCGCAGATTTCAAATCCAAAGGCTTGGTCCCACTGAAGGCAATCAAGGATGGGTCTGTGTCCGCGTTGCCACCAGCTAGATGAAACCCTTCCTCTTTGGAGGCTTTGAGCTCAATCGTGGGGAGCCCATTCGACTTCTTCTTGGTTGGTCTGATGCGTGCGCAAGGCAAGCCTAGACTATCGCCAGCTAGATCCTGCCGCAGACCTGCACGGCTGTCGATCATTACGGCTCAAAGCTCTTCAAGCTTGAGCCAGAACCTCTGTGCTCAATTGAATGAAATGAACCTGCCACCAAGAACATGTCGCCTGCCTACAATCTATGTGTGACCATCACTTCGTTGTCCTCGCATTCTGCACTTCCGCAACCACATTGCATGATCATGAATGAGAACAATGAAGTCCCAAGACCAAAAGAACCAAAAGGAAATACCCAGAGATCCAAATTTGTTAACAAAGGACTGACTATATTGTAGAGAGAGAGAGATCCTTAATAAGAACTGATGGAGATGAGCCATCGGTTCACGTATTTCTTGAGATCACAGAGTCTGGAGCCTGAGGAATCGCCCTTGCAGTTGTTGTTTGTGTAGAGCCACCATTATACTAAACATTGTATAAAGCTTTGTGTGAATCAAGGAAGAAGGGAATCGGAAGGAAGGTCTATGTGATCTGCCGGGCTCTTGATTCTCTTGCCTTTTGGGGGGAAGGGAAGACCACCTCGCAGCTTCCAGGCTAATTGACACGCACTCTCCGCCAGTCGAAGCACTTGCTTTCTGCTTTCCCGTCTCGATCCTGGGAGAAGGTCTTCCCGCTGGGGGCTGCATAGGTGATCATCACCTTAGCCTTATCCGCCACTTCGAAGACGGTGGCCTGTCACAACGACGGAGCAGACCTGGAGGGACCCAGGCCACCGTCCGGGTGGGGAGTCCAAAGACTCCAAAAGGTATCTTGCATGTCTAGCCATATAGCAGTAATAATAGTAGCAGTGATACAGCGGTGCGGAGAAGTGGGTTGCCTGACACGGGGTTTCAAGACCATGACAGATACATGGACTCTTTTTTGCAAGTCTCTTTTTTGAAGCCACTCACCTGCAGGTGCCAAAAGAAAGTAGTTGCATGCCAAGATTTGATTGCTGGCGGTTTGGGACTCTCAGGTGTTTGAAGTTGAGGAACTATCGAACCAAACCTCATCTTCCAATTCGCATCTGAATCACTGAAGAGTGCCAAGAAAAAATAGAACAGCTACTACTCAAAAGTACTCTGTACTCCAGCCTCACTACCAGGCACCATCTGGGAGACATAGCTCTTCAAGCCCTTGCAAACGGGGCCATGAATCTGCGACCGATCAAAAATAAGCCCAATGGTTCCTCTTCAACAAAAGCACACACAACAACACCAGCACGTGCGAACTCAAAGAGATGGGGCGTACTTCCCCATCATGGTGTGGTTTTCCTCTACCGAACAAACGTCACAACGGTGCCATTCCGTTCGCGTCCTCGACGGTGCGGAGTGTCAAGGTGCCATTGTCGCTGTAGATCAAATCCTGATGGAGCGGAGGCCGGAGGCCCCAAGCCCCAGCTGGCAGCGTGTCTGGGAGTGGGAGGAGCAGTTGGACCAGTGAAGGGGTTGGGAAGTTGACCCTTGTAGAAAGAGCTTCTCACGTGAGAAAACCGCTGCCAACTGTTTCTTTCTCGATCAGAACAGCTGAAGAAAGTGAAGGCCACAAAGAGAGAAAGAGAGAGAGAGAGAGAGAATCAAGGGGTCAGAAGCTGGAGGCTTCCAACAGCTAAGGTTCTGCATAATTACCCAGCATGCCAAAGACTTGGTCCGAACGCCTTCACTTCTTTTTGACGCAATTTGAGCAAGGCAACAGACAAGGCTATCCGCACCTGGCAATCGAAGGCATACGACGAAGGAAAGGTCGAAAAGGTATCTCAAAGGGATTCTCCCCTGATCTCTTTCCGTTTTCAAGACAATTCGAGAGAATAGATTTCGGACTCTCTTCTCCGATACTCAGTGTCTGTCTCGGGTCTCAAATCTGCCATGTGTCTGTCGTGTTGTTTTTTCCACAACCGCCTTCGTTGATGATGAAAAAGAGAAAATTGGAGGAACTGATGTTGTCCGCAACAGTGAGAAAAAGACAACTGTCCCAATTCACAAGAACCGAGGACAAGGCTGGTGCAGGCGCTTGCTTCTGCACTCGCCGGACCTGGACACTGAAACACCCGGACCCTGGAAGCCCTGGCGCCGGGGAATTGCTGAGGTCTTGGAAAAATACAATTCCAACCAAAGAGCGACATGCCTCTTCGCTTATGACCGGCGCTTGCCACCCCAAATTCAGCCCATATTTAGAGCCACAGACATCCCTTGACGGGACAAGCTCTCCAGTCTCAACTCACAGGCCGACCAAGCTGTTGCACAGCCACCGCAACGGTGAAAACCCTAGCAGCTAGCACGTCAGCCTGTGGAAACTCAGTAGTAGATCAGTTCTATTTGGTACTGAACCCTGAATGTGTTGCTTCGCACTTGCCAAAAAACAATATAGCACCCTGGGATCGAGCTGTGGCTGTGCCGCCGGACCAGCAGCAAAAGCACCAGCGCAAGAGCTCCACTAAGAGTGCCTAAAACCTGGACGACCAAGGCGATTCTGAGACAAAAAGAAACGCAGAATCCAGTGTAGTCGTGACCCAGACCGAAAAGAAGAACAGTCGAGTTCCTCATGTTTTGATGTAAGCCATGAAGTTTCAGGAGACAGTTGCATGTGCAGCATGATCTCCAGTTGCTGAGGAGTAGTGGTGTCTGTGCACCAGGACCCCCCAACAGCTTGGCAATTTATTGGATATCCTCAACAGCGCTAATCTTAGAGAACGCACATTGAGGATCCCACACATTCCGGAGAATGCAAAAAATGCAGCTGCAAACTCTTGTGCAGCACTTAATTCAAAAACTATGTACAGTTGAACTATACGAAAACTGTTCTGAGTCTGACTCAGATGTCGGAATTATTCATGCTCAACCTTCATGATGAGCAGGCAAAAAAAGCGTCTATGTTGCGATTCTGTTTATGCCCCTCCGACTGCAACAAGCTTCTGCTGCAATGAAGGTGCCGCAGTGCTCGTAGATTTCACCAATTTGGACTGCATTGGACTTTGGCCTAGGAACCTCAGACCGAAGCTGACTGACAAAAGCAGCCAAAACAAGAATGACTGGAAAATGCAGCTTGACATTACATTCCTCGTATTGCGTCAACTCATCTATCAAATATCAAAACGGGAAAACTGCCGCTCGTTGAGAGAGAGAGAGAGAGCGAGCGTTTTGAGCTCAACCTTTACTTGATCCAGTCTGGCAACTCAACTTGCCCGGACTTCAAATCGTAGATGCCACCCTGAATCTCCAATTTCCCACTGCGCACCTGCAGCCAACCCAGGACACCAACCCACTAATTCAGTGCAGCACCTGGCCTGGTACTGTACGGTGTTGTCATGGGTGTTTGAGCACTCACGAGCTTTAAATTGGGCACCTTCTATCAAACCAAAGGAAATGGGCTGGGCCGTTAGACAGAAATGCTTCTCGCCCATTAGACCGCTTTGCATCTCGATTCTCAGACCTCGCAGATCCAGGTGTCTCCCTAAGCACTCTGAGTTTGGAGGAAAAAAATGCTTCTGCGATACAGAAATCCCGATGTGCCTTCTCACGGATGGGTTCGCTGTACCTCACTCGGCAAGGCATGACAAGCAATAAGTGGTCAAGTACTTCCAAACGATTGTATAATATATATATATATCGCTCTTAGGTTGGAGGCCATCGCTCTTAGGTTGGAGGCCACTGCTACTAGGGTGGAGGCCATCGCTTACATAAATGTATATGCATCGTGACAAGATCCTGGTCCTCACTACCCGGCAAAGGCCAATTGCTTGAGATTGCGACAATTGTCAATCCTTGACCAAAAAAAGTAACGGTCTCACCCGACTTGTTGATTCGTTTAACAACAGGATCCAACAGGAATCCATCAATCCTTGCACCCAGGTTGCTGCAACAGGAAGTTGATGGTGTGAAAGACATTCAGCTTGATGGCCTTCGCAGCAATCTCGTCTTCTGTGGCCTGCTGTGAGATCAATCACCACCAGCAGAGAATCCAACCGCTTTTGGGGGAGATCAAGGGGTTTTGGTCAACAGGCCTGAAAATCAGAATCCATACGTTCAAACAAACATGATACAGTGGTGCCTGCCAAGGAGAACTCCCCCTTCATCCCCTCCCAGTGCAACAGCGCCAGGACACCTTGCGGCCGCATTGAGCTTGAGCTTCCGACACAACCGAGCTCAACTCGTTGAGAAGAACATCCAAAGCTTGGGATGCCTGCACCATTGATGGAATATGGCAGTCATAACGAGGGTGTGAGGACTCTGACGACTGTGACGGGCCATCCTCATCTTGTGACACATCATTCCTCACCTGTTCTTTCGATGCTGCGTTCTAGGCGGATTTGAGTGGCTGCTAATTGACTCAAAAACGCAATTT